GAACCTTGTGGGTTGCAGCCGGGCACCTAACCACTGTGCCACTAGTTGAACCCAAATGCCAACCTGCTGGCAAATGGATAAACCAACCGTAGCCTCTGGACGATGGGATAAGAAGAGTTCGACAGGGTGCTGCTCAATGACAGCAAACCAAACCAATCTCACCTGCCCTTGAGTAGATGTCAGCTCACAGTGGCCCTCAGGGAAAGGTTGGACTACCCCAGGGAGCTTCTCAGACTGTGACTCTTGACAGAAGTAGAACCCCCGTGGTCCCTTGGAGGAGCTGGTGGTTTCAAACTGCCGACCTTGTGGTTAGCAGCCCCATTCGTGACGACTGTGCCACCAGGTCTTAGCTGTAACAGAGGCCCCAGAGAAGTTGTCCCGTTCTTTGTGTTTGTGCCCACGGTTACAACCGGCTCTCTGGTGGTCTTCCGTAGACCCTCTACCAAGCAGGAGATTCTTTCCAGCGACTGGTTTCTCCTGATCACATGGCCAAAGAACGGGAGTTCACGCGAGATGTAGTCTCACCGTCCCTGCTTCCCAGGAGTGTTCTAGCTGTACTTCCAAGACAGAGGTGTTCGTCCTTCCGGCAGGCTGTGGTTGATTCAAAATAACTTCACCACCACCAGGATTCAAGGCAGCAATTCTCCTCTGCTCCTCCTTAGTGTCCACTGTTCACATGCACGAGGTGACCCACATACCGTGGCTTGGGTCAGGTGCCCCTCAGCCTTCAAAGGGACATCATCGCTGCTTGTTAGTGCTTTCAAAGAGGTCTAGATGTGTGGTTTCCTGTCTGCTGCTTCCATGGGCGTAGATGGTGGAGCTTGTGATGCCCCTTCCTGGTCTGGCTCTGAGGCTTGTCGTTTTCTTTGCTGAGGTGGGACCCACTCTGACGGCTAACGCGTTGCTGTTTCCACCACTCTTAAGTGAGCAATTCGTCGATACTATTTCCACAAGGGTTTTTTTTTTTCATCTCCCCAAACAGGAACCCAGTACCCTTGAAGCAATCACTCTCCCCCTGCCCTCTTCCCCTAGTCCCTGCCAACGCTGATAAACGTTTGCTTATGTGCATTGCGTTTCCTGTTCTAGTTCCCGTCAGAGAAATCACCCGGCGTTTGTCCTCTGTGTCTGTGGAGGACGTGCCTCAGGTCCTCAGCCCCCTTTGTGGCCGGATCGTACTCCATGGTGTGCACCTGCTAAGCTTTGGGCAGCGTCTGTCCGTTCACGGGTCGGTGTGGTTTCATCGATTGTGCACGCTCCTGTGGGTATGAGGAACCCGGGTGGCCCTGTAGGTTAGCCATGGGCTGCAGTGACCGAAAGGTGGGCTGTTCAAACCCAGCGGCTGCCCTGCAGGTGAAAGATGAAGCTGCCCCAGGAAGACGGACGGTCTCGGGGACCCTGCCCTGGGGTGCTCTGGGTAGGGATGAACTGGATGGCAGTGGGTTTGGCTTGGCCGGGGCTTTCCTGCAGGTGCAAGTGCACACCAGGGTGGACACACTCGGCTAGGTCTGGTTTGAGACAGCTAATCTGCGCTAGGGAATTGTAGCTCAAGTAGAAATGCGCCCAGCACCGCGGTGGCCCAGAAATAGACCACGTCAGCTCCTCAAACCACCACCAGTTCCCACCCTGTGCAGGCTAGTCTCTTGGCCTCAGGCCCCTCTGTGTGTGGGGTTCATCCTTGGCTCCCCCGACCCCCTTTTCTAGGGCACAGTTTTAGGGTTATGGAGCAATTGCACAGAGAGTCAAGTGTCCCCATAGATTCCCCCCTGCCCCGCCCACCGTTCTCCCCACTGTGAGCAAGTGGCCTTCACGCTGATGCTGACTCAGGGGGTCCCCATTCCAGTGGGTCCGAGTCCAGCTGTGCTCGGTCCCGGTCTCACTGGCTGGTGGTGCTGGAAGCAGAACGCTCCGCCTTTCTCCCAAGATGCCTCTGGGCGGCTCAGAGGCCTGCCTTCCATGTGGCAGCAGAGGGCATAGGATGCCTGGCCTTAGCGCTAACATCCCCGGCCCGGCAGGTACTGTTTTTAACCATTGGCACATGGACATTGATGTGTTATTGTTATGGAAGGAACCCTGCGGGCTCTTTGCAATAACCACAAGGTTGGTGCTTCCAGCCCCCCAGCTGCTCTTCCACCGGAGGAAGATGTGGCAGGCTGTCTGCTCCTGAAAAGACTGACATCCTCAGGAGCAGCTCCAC